AAGCAAGAAAAGGAAAGGAGGAAGGAAGGAAGGAAGGAAGGAAGGAAGGAAGGAAGGAAGGAAGGAAGGAAGAGGTATAGCAGGAGGAAGGGCACATAGAAAGGAAGGAAGGAGAACTAAGATATGAGGGGAAGGGAGGGAGGGAAGAGAGAGAGAGGAAGGAAGGAAGGAAGGAAGGAAGGAAGGAAGGAAGGAAGGAAGGAAGGAAGGAAGGCAGGCAGACTGAGGTACAGTGGGAGGGAGGGAGGCACACAGAAAGGAAGGAAGGAGAACTAAGATATGAGGAGAAGGGAAGGAGGGAAGAGAAAGAGAGGAAGGAAGGAAGACAGACAGACAGACTGAGGTACAGTGGGAGGGAGGGGGGAAACTGAGGCACAAGGAGAGAGGAGAGGAGGGAGGGGGAGAGAAGAAAGAGAGGAAGGAAGGAAGGAAGACTACAGTACAGGGAGAAAGGAAGGAAGGAACAGGGGGAGGGAGGGAGGTGCACACAAAAAGGAAGGAGAATTAAGACATGAGGGGAAGGAAGGAAGGAAGGAAGGAAGAGAAACAGTGGGAGGGAGGGAAGAGAGAGGGGGGAAACTGAGGCACAGGGAGAAAGGAGAGGGGAGGAAGGAAAGAAGGAAGGGGAAGGCAGGCGAGGTGAGATAAGATGTGGCGGGCAGGAGGCAAAAACCAGGAGGAGGCCCAACTTTTCAGATTATTCACACATTTTATTTGCTCTGTTCAGGTATATTACAAACCAACAACGGGGCGGGGAAAGAGGTGAAGTTTCCAACAGCTCAGGTGGAAGAGGGAAGTGCACTTCAGCGAGGCAGGAAGGGCCCGGAGGAGGAGTTCGGCGCCCGAAGGCTGGGAGCACAAGGGGGGGGGGCTTCACCATGTCGAATACACCAGATGAGACGGAGACGGGTGGGGGGGCCAGGGGGGAAGAGGTGGAGGAACAGGGCCAGTTTGCTTCTGCGGGTCAGCGGGGGGGGGTTGTCTCTGAAGCAGGGCTCTCTGGCCCCTGTGAGCCGCGGGCGGGCCCTCCCTTCAACGCCAGGCCGCCCGTCCCTCTCCTTGGTCTCGGAGGTCTCCAGTGGGGGTGGCGGCTGTTTGCTCAGGGGCTTCGGGGCCTAGCAGAGAAGGCCCAGAGCAGGTCCCGGGAAAGGGGGCGAGGTGGAGGCGTCGCTGCTGGTGCAGATGGTCAAAGGCCAGGAAGGCTCCCAGGGGGGGCCCGGCTTAAAAGTTAGCATGTCCCTTGCTGGGGTTGGGGGCGCCGCCCCATGCGTGCTCCCCGCCTCTCTCCAGCGTTGTCGGTGACCAGGTGGTCCTGGTGGGTGGTGGACTGATCGGACGAAGACGGCTCCCGGAAGGGCTTGAGAGTAGCAAAACAGCAGGCCTGGCGTCGCGTTGCCAGGTCTCCCCCCCTCTGGCCACCGGTGGGGGGAATTCGGGTTGCCAGATCCAGGTCTGGAAACTCCTGGCGATTTGGAAACGGCGCCCGGGGAGGACAGGGACCTCAGTGGGGTACGATGCTATATCGAGTCCATCCGCCAAAGCACCCACTTTTCTCCAGGGGAACTGATCTCTGTGGTCTGGAGATGAGCTGTGGTTCCGGTGGGTCTCCGGGGCCCACCTGGAGGCTGGCATCCCGAGGCCTGGGCAAAAGGTCTCAGTGGGCTCCGCACCTGGGTCCCGAGCATCATCAGGTCGACGTGGCGAGAGCTTACGGGAAGAACTCAAGGGTCAGACGCTCTGCTTCTCCCTCCGGCTCGGCGGCCCCCCCGGGCTGAAGAGGTTTGATCTCCCCGGCCCAACAAAGCATCAGTTCACACATACACACAACACACACTAACCCAAGGCCTCCCCTGCCCGGGTTCCCTTCCTGCCTCCTCTTTCCCCCCACTCCACCGCATCGTCAGACGCGTCTGGCCCTCTGACTCTTTTTAACGCCCCTGCTGCCGGCATGCCGGACTAGGCGACCCCAATAGATCTTTGCCGGAATGGGGGAAACGACTCCAGAAAATACAACCTGCATTTCCAGCCCCAGTCTCATACTGCCCTGCTTTTCTCTCCCCATCGGGAAACCACACTTCTGGCAGTCCACGGTGTCCTTCGTAGGCCAGCCGGCCGGTACCCCATGGGGAAAGTGGGGCCTTCTCACCCCGTGCTTTGGGCTCAGCTGCCACCGATCCCAAGGGAAAGGAGCAGATTTCCGAACTGAGTTGCGGGTTTGAGAAGGAGCAACTGGTGGGCTGTGCCCCAGGACTGCCTTGCTGGTTCCCAGAGGGCGGCATTAAGAAACGGGAAGGGGAAGAAAATAAGGCCAAACCTCATAACCAAAAACCCTCCATGAGGGAAAAAAAAACTGATTGTCATCCCAAGCAGAAATGTGCAAAAGAAGTGCTGACCTTTGGGGCTTGGTATGTGACTGGACATTGGGTGAGAACAGGGTTGTTGTTTTTTTGAGGGGAGAGGTGTAGGAACGCAAGGGTACTTGCAACTTCTTAGTTGCCAGTTTGGTATAGTGGTTAAGTGTGCAGACTCTGATCTGGGAGAACCGGGTTTGATCCCCCCCCCTCCTCCACATGCAGCTGCTGGTGTGACCTTGGGTCAGTCACAAGTTCTCTCAGAGTTGTTCTCTCAAGAGCAGTCTTCAAAAGAGCTCTCTCAGCCCCACCTACCTCACAGGGTGTCTGTTGTGGGGAGGGGAAGGGAAAGGAGATGGTAAGCTGCTCTGAGACGCCAAGTGAAGGGCAGGGTATAATTCCAGTCTCTTCTCTCTGGTACCAGTGCTGCTCAAAAGCCGCATCCCTCAAGAGCATTGGGTCCCCAACGTGGCGGCCACCAAAACCTTTCCTGGAGCCCCCAGAGTGTTTTTAGGAAGTGGGCGGGGCTGGTAGGGGAGCTTTTGCCCAGCCAGGTTTTCAATTGGCCATTGGAGATTAGATTGGCGGTGCAGGGTTTTTTTTAAGTTGCTGCCGTCATAGCACAAGGATCTTCACTGTAGGGCTGAAGGTAAGTGGCGGCAGCCACATTGTGGCTGGCTCCGCCTCCTGTGGCAGCCATTTTGTGGCCACGCCCACCACACTGTGTCAGAATTTCAGAGGTGCCTACTCTGTCAGAAAGGCTGGGGGATCCCTGCTCCAGAAGGTGCTCTTGAAATTAAGCTAACAAACTGCCTGCATCCACCACTTGACTCCCCTTGAAGTGGGGAAGGTCTATGCGGCACTGATTCCCCTCCACCTTCCCTGCTGCATCCCAAGGCAGAGTAAGGGGGCGTCAGAATTCTCTGCTGGACGTGCCAAGTTGCAGTCTGCATCAACTAGACCCTTGGTCTATCTCATCTCCTCTGACGGGCAGCCCCACTGCAGGGTCTCAGGCGTGGGTCTTTTCCCAGTTACCCGGTTTTAGCGGGTGAGGGGCCTTGGATCGTGTGCAGATGCTCAGTGAGACTTCCACTGGTGTTACCTTATCCTGAGTCAGGCCACTGGTAGCCTAGTAACCCAGTTTGCCAGGGTCTGAGGCCGAGAAAGGCCTTTCCCAGCTGGTAGCCTTTATATGTACATATGAAGCTGCCTTGGACTGAATCAGGACATCGGTCCATCAAGGTCAGTATTGTCTACTCTGGAGTGTTTAGTGGCTCTCCAGGGTCTCAGGCAGAGGCCTTTCACATCACCTACTGCCAGATCTTTTTAACTGGAGACAGTGGGGATCAAGCCTGTAACCTTCTGCGTGCCAAGAAGATGCACCACCGATGAGCTACAGCTCACAACACGAGATAGAGCATGCAATGCAGCTACGGACCCCTTCCTCACCCATTAAACTGCTTTATATGCCTGGTCTATTAAGCTGTGTATTTTCTCCTTTGACTACATGGCAGAAAGTTTTTCACAACTGCAGAGATCCTTTCAAGGGGGTGGTGGTGTTGAACCTTAGACCCTCTACATGCAAAGCAAGTGATTCAGCCTTCGCTATAGCTGATGAGCATGGAGGAACCCTGAAATCATCCTTCTTGCCTAGAAAGCAGGTTCCATCCCAGAGCCTTGATTGGCTGGGCAGAGAGGAAATTTGCTCTCAGAATTTGCTAGGAGGATGTCTGTCTGTGGCTTTGGGAGCTGTCTGGTGCAGAAAATGTGTATATGGGCTTTTCCGTATTCTCATTTTGTTTGCTTGTGTGTCCCTACTGCTTTCCCTCCCCTTTTCTGCACTTGTTTTGCTGCCTCTAGTGGTTGATTCGATATTACATCGCTGTATGTGTGACATTAAAAAACCTGCAGGGAGATATGCCAGACATAAAGCGATGTAATATCGAATCGACCACTAGAGGGTGTAAAACACATGCAGAAATGGAGGAAAACCCCCAAAGTAATATGCGAAAGAGCCCTATATCTCTTTTAAAGGGTGCTTTCAATAGAAATTTAAAAAATGAACTTGAGCCTCCCCTCACTTCAGATGACTGGGAATGGTGCTTTGGAGGCACGTTTCCACCAGGGGTCAACCAGATGCTGGCATGAAAGGGTTACAGGTAGGAGCACAATGTTTGCTATTTCCCTGCAGCAACCGGCATCAAAGCAAATCGCCAATAAACATGGAAGCTCCATGTAGCCTTCACAGCTAATAGTCATTGATAGATTCCCCCCCCCTTCAGTTTGGTCCAGTCCCCCTTTAAAACCATCTCAGCTTGAGGCCATCCTCACATCCTGTGATGGAGAGTTCCACAGGTGAATTATGCGTTGTACTGTGGGAGGAGAAGTCCTCCCTTTTGTCTGCCCCTGAAGTCAATGGTTGGTAGATCCAGGACAGACAACAGGAAAGTCCTTCACACGATACATAATCAAATGTGCGGCTTTAAAATGGATTCGTCGTGGCTTTTATGTACTTGGAATCCCCCCGCTGCATATTTTGTGCTTCACAAGCTTTGCCAAGGGAAATCAGAGTTACCCTCCCAAAAACAAAACAACAGAAAGCCAGGCTAACCATGCTTACCCTCGGCAGCGAGAGCAAGGAAATGGGTCGTCCTGGAGACTACGAGCTTCCGCGGACGAACCCCACCCCTCAAGCATTGGCCAAACATGCTTGAAATGAAGGACACTGGAAGGGGTTCTCTGGCAGGAACCAAGCAAGAAGGGCTGAACCAAAGAAGAGTTGTGTCTGTTATTGCCAAAGACGCCTCCTTAGAAAGAGGGGAAGTGTTTTAAGGCCAGCGCCCATCTTGGCTGACACCAGACACAGACGTCCCTTCTGGAACTGAGTCTGGTGTCATTTCCTGCAGGCCTCAGACTGAGCCCTGTGGATCACACAGCACCTCTCTGTTCCCTTATCCCCCTAGAGAAAGAGAGCAGGGGTCGCAAGCCACATCCAGCCGCCCTTGCAAAGCCCACCCCTCCCCCCAGTCTGAGCTTCTCATCACTGAGCTTCCACATGACTATCTCGGCCGGCTTCCGGGCTGCTCGCCTGAAGCTTCTCCCCCCCCTGGTCTCCTCAAGCTAGCCTTGGTTTCCCAACTGTTGTTCCTGCCCACAGCCCCTGCCTGCGCCCCTCTGCGAACACGCTGGTCCCTGGGACCAGATCCTCCTCCTGGCACGTGGTTTCCACTTCTGCACTGGAATCCAAGGAGTACATTTTGTAAACGAGGTGCGGTTGGAACAGCGCACTGAATTATCTGAGGCCTACCGCTTGACCATAGAGTCCCCGTCGAACATGCTGGAGAGGCTGCAAACAGCAGAAGGATCATAATTAGGCCGGCTCCTGTTTGTAGCCATCACATCCACCTTGGTCAATCCTCAGACGATCAAGTTTCCTTGGATAATCTTGGACAATCCTTGGACAATCAAGACAGCCAGTAGAGCTTGGCACCGCGGATGGAACAAAACGAAGCCAGTTTTAAAAATCAGGATGCTTGGTGGATTTCTCCAGTGCCCAAGGAACGGACTGACGTCTTTTCCAATCTAAAGTCAGGTCGCACAAGGATAGGTTTTGCGATTGTGACACTTCACAGAATTGTAAAAAAGTCATGCCTTAGAAAAGTTCTTGACGAACTCGTGAGATCCTAAAGGCCGTTGAATTCCAAAGGCTGCTAGACCACTTGAAAAAGCAACACCCAAGGGGTTTCCATTATCAGTTAATTTCCTTTCCAAACGAGCCTTCAGATAATGTCGCAGGATGGGTTCACTGGGATTAGGGAATGTCGGATTCAGCATTCACAACTCTTTTTTTTTTTTTTAAATGGACCTCCACGAAACCTGACCATGTGGAAGTTTAAGGCTTCCTGACGCATCTTGCTGCAGAGAGGCAGAAAAAGGATTACTTGAGCTAATAAATACAGTGTGGCATCCGTTATGTTTATGAAAGAGTGGATAAAGATGTTCAACGGACGCAAGGGCAAGGAAAAAACAGGCAGCCCAGTGGTGGCAGTGTGTATACCATACACTTTTCACTGAGGCCACAATTAAAGTTCCCGGTCACTTAAAAATAGAAAAAAGGCAAACCTCCTGAAAAAAAGAATAATACAACCGCTTGTCTCGTTTAGTAAAATCAAAACGCCAAGGAGTCGGTCTAACTTAAAAGGTATCTGAGGAGGCGGAGTAAAGGTATCCCCGGTGAGAGTGACGGGTGCGGAGGGGAGGAAAGGCAGTCCTAGCGGGCCGTGGAGGTGAGGGCCGGCTCCTTACATGACGGAACAGCATTTGCAGCGCTGTTTTTTGACGTCGAGATCCTTATCCGCTTCTTTGGGGTCGGTGTCGTTGGCTGCCGGCTTCTCTCCGGCCTGGTTCTCTTCCTTCTGCGGGAGGGCCGTGACGGGCTCCACAGCGCTGCCGTTGGGCGGGGCGTGGTCCTTCCCCGCACTGTCTGCCGTCGGCTTGTTCTCTGCGTCTTCAATCACCACGAGCTCGGCCTTGATCGTACCCTCAAGGCCCAGTACTTTTTTGGTCTCGTTCTCGTCTTCGACGTTCTGGTAGCCCATGAAGATCATGGTGACCGGCTGATCCTTGCTCGGCTCCGGGCCTTTCGGACTCTCTACCGGCTTAGCCTGAACGCCGGTGATCTCCTTCCTGGGCGTGGCTTTCTGGCTGGGGGGATTGCTCTTGGAGGCCTCTCCAGCGGCCTTCTCGGAGGCCTCGTCGGCCTTGTGGAGGAGTTCGTCTACTTCAGAGGAGCTGAGGAGGTGGATGCCGTTCTCAATGGCCCCGTCTTCGGCACGGACTGCATGGACCACTGCAAGGGAGAGACAGAGAAAGTGTATAGCAAAGACATACCAACAGACTGTGTTCCTCCTGGGCCAAGGAGGAGTTTCCAAGCCTCTCCATGAATCCCTCATTGGCTCTGGTGTAGCGCAGAAGGTGAGAACTGGCCCTTTCTTATCTGTTTAGACTCTTGTCAGTAGCATAGGTTGGGGTCCCCGACGTTGTGTCCGTGGGTGCCACGGTTCTTACCAACACTTTCTTGGTGCCCCACCAGGTGTTTTTGGGTGGGGCCAAGTGGGGCTCTTGCCCAGCAAGGCTTCTGATTTGCCACTGAAGATCTGTTTTGGCAATACGGGTTAAAATAATATTGTTTCAGCAGCTGTTGCCTCCAAGTACTGGCTTTATTCTCTCCCACTCCTTTTCCCCGGTTTATTATTAAATTAGAAGAAGAGGAGATTCGATTTATACCCCGCCCTTCACTCAGAGTCTCAGAGCAGCCTACTATCTCCTTTCCCTTCCCCTCCCCACAACAGACACCCTGTGAGGTAGGCGGGGCTGAGAGAGCTCTGACAGAAACTGCTCCTGAGAGAACAGCTCTGAGAGAACTTGTGACTGACCCAAGGTCACACCAGCAGCTGCATGTGGAGGAGTGGGGAATCAAACCCAGTTCTCCCAGATTGGAGTCCGTGCTCTTAACCACTACACCAAACTGGCTCTCAGAGAAGAGACTGGATTTCTACCCCACCCTTCACCAGTGTTCCCTCTAAGCTGAGTTAGTGTGAGCTGGCTCACAGTTTTTTAGCCTCCGGCTCACACATTTTTGCCTTAGCTCAGGAAAGAGGGCTCCGGAGCAGACTAATTTATGCAGTAGCCAAATTGCTCGCTCACAACTTGAATGCCAGGAGCTCACAGAGGAGAATTTTTGCTCACAAGGCTCCGCAGCTTAGAGGGAACATTGCCCTTCACTACCCGAAGGAGTCTCAGAGCAGCCTGCAATCTCCTTTCCCCTCCCCTCCCCACGATAGGCACCCTGTGAGGTAGGTGGGGCTGAGAGAGCTCTCTCGAGAACTGCCCTTGAGAGAACAGCACTGAGAGAACTTGTGACTGACCCAAGGTCACACCAGCAGCTACATGTGGAGGAGTGGGGGAATCAAACCCGGTTCTCCCAGATTAGAATCCGTGCTCTTAACCACTGCGCCAAACTGGCTCTCTTCTCCCCTGCACTTGGGCCTTCTCTCCTGGGGCGGCCACTCTGTGGTTGGCTCCTCTTCCTACAGCAGCCATCTTGTGGTCGGGCCTGGCACCCTGTGTCAGAACTCCAAAGGTGCCCGCAGGCTCAAAAAGGTTGGGGACCCTGGGTCTAAGTAATACTGATGAATCCCTGAGAATGCACAAAGGCAATCCCAAGTAGTCCCCCGATCACGTGCCTGGAACACGAGTCACACCTTCTTGCTATTTGCTCGAGGGTGTGTTTGGGGACTTAAAAGCGTAGTTTGGCTTTCGGCAGAGGAAGAGACAGGAGACTGGGGAAGCCACGGTGGGACTCGGAAAGACTGATGATCCTAGAGCTGCCAGGTCCCCCGGGGGGGGGGGTTTTCCCACCGAAAGAGCCCCCAACCCACCGGTCCGGAGTCGGCCAGCGGGGGGCACCCCACCCCCAAAGTGGACAGATCGGGCCGACGTTCCCCACACGATGATGCCGTCACCCGGAAGTGACATCTTCATGCTGGGCACGTCGCTGGGCGACGCTCTAGTAATCAGCCTGAAAACTCTATGGTACCATAGAGTTTTAGGCTGATTGCTAGCGCATTGCCTGGCGACGTCACTTCCGGGTGATGTCATCGCTTCACGCGCGCCAGAAAAGAACTGACTCCCCCGCTATTATGAAGGTAGGACTTGGCAACTCTAGATGATCCTACGGGACAAGCAGGACCCGATTGCACTCGACCTGCACAGCCATGCAAAACACTACATCACCCTGCAAATCATGGGGATGCTCCCTTCATAAGTACACAGAATCCAGGGAGACAGATCCAGGCGGGGTAGCCGTGTTGGTCTGAAGCAGCAGAACAAAGTCTGAGTCCAGCGGCACCTTGAAGACCAAGGGCCAGAGGCAGACTGCCTTTAAACATGAAGGCCATGGGCGGACTCATCCTCTTGGAATGTGCCCGCTCTTCTTTTAAGGACAATCCACAGCTAGCAGGAGTTGCTACATCTTGTGGCAGTGAGTTCCACAAGTTTAATTACGGGCTGTGTGAAGGACTTGCATTTGTCAGCCTGAAACCTACTGCCCATCTGTTCTTTCACTTCTAGTTTTATGGGAAACGGAGGAAAAGTTCTCTATTTTCTGCCGCTCTCGGCATAACGCACCTCTGTCGTTCCTCCGCTCAGCTTCTGTAACCTGTTTTATTCATTTACTAGGAAAAAGGTCCGTTGTGGAAATAAATACAACGGCCTCTAGAAAGAGTCTCTGGGCGGATGCCCTGGCCTTGGACACTCAGTGTCAATTTGCTGTAGCGACCTCAGCAGGGTATAATGACACTGAGTCCACCATTTTCTCCAGAGGAACTGATCTCTGCTACCTAAAGAACAGTTGTAATTTTGAGTGATCTCCAGCCCTCACCTGGAGATTGGCAACGATGGTTCCCCAGAAGGGAATAGGTGGTTTGGATGGTGGAATCTATGGCTTTGTACCTGTCCGAGGTCCCACGCCTCCTGAAACCTCACCCTCTCCAGGCTCCATCCCTCACATCTCCAGGAATTTCCCACCTGGAGTTGGCAACCCTACCTCCTTCCCAGCCAATTATCAACCTACCTTTATTTCCCCCTCACTCTTCAGCTTTCCACCCCCCACACACCTGCAGCCTCTCCCGTGCTCTGAAGCCCTGACTGCTACGTCACATTGGCTGTCATACGGGGGCCACCTCAGCAGCATATAAGGATACAGAGTCCACCATTTTCTCCAGGGGAACTGATCTCTGCCATTTGGAAAGCAGTTGTAATTCTGAGTGATCTCCAGCCCTCACCTGGAGATTGGACACATTTTACCTCAGAAGAGCAAAACTGTTTAGAATGTTAGAGGCAAAAGCCAATCAAGTCGCATATGCAAACGACCTCTGTGTTCCGAGGCAAAGGCCAATGAGGCTGCATATGCAAATAACCTCTGTGTTCTGACTGGCTATGGGGGGGAGAGGAACTGCGAAATGTTTAGAATGTTGGAGGCAGGACTCAGGCAAAGCAGCCAGTGGATAGGGAGACCCTCTGAATGACAGATCAGAGAGCGAACTGATTTTGGAGCGTGTGGAATGTTCTAGAGAAGTGCCACCACCATTCGGCTATTATTTATAAGGGAGATACCCCTGTTGCCCTCCTTAGAGGAAAACCGAAGGGACTTACATTGTTCTCCTCTCCCTGTGGTGTAAATTAGGCCGAGTGTCTGTGGCTGGTCCAAGCTTCCATGGTAGAGCGAGGATTCAGACCCAGATCCTAGTTCAATACTCTGACCACTATACTACGCTGCCTCTCTAAACTGACTCCCCCACCCCGTTCCTTGGCCTTTCCTCACAGGGAGGAAGTTCCAGATCTGGGCCATTCAGTTGCCCCTCTCTGCACCTTTCCCAGCCTGACAATATCCTTTTTGAAAGAGAATACGGCCCATTTTAAAAACCAGTCACCAACTAGGGCTCGAAGCAGGCAGGTGCAGTTGGTTTTGGCCCCCTAGGCCAGGCTGGGCGTGATCCTGTCCTTGGCCCCTGCAGTTGCGGGAGGCCAGGACTGCCCGGGCTCCCTGGGTGCGTACCTTTCATCTCGTCCTCGTACACTTTGACCCCCTGTATAGAGCGGTCCTTGGGGAGTCTAGTGGTGCTGGACAGGACCTTGGTCTCCCCAGTAACTTTGTCCTTTTCCACAGTGATTTCCACAGAGTACATAGCTGGGACACAAACAGGAGAATGAGCACCCAAACCCCTCGCGCCTCTACCCCACCCCCCCGGGCTCAGCAGTGAAGCATTCGGGGGTGGTACGAGATGCGGTGCGGCGGGATTCGGGGGGAGGGGTGCGCCTGCAGCAGGTGCCATGACGTCAACAGCGCAAAGGAGAAAACAGTGTAAGCGGCGGCAAAGAGGGACTGCTCCTTCCCAGAATCCTTTGTGAGCCTACAGGTCGGTCCGGCACCTCTGCCAGCTCCTCTGGCTCCCTCTGATGGCGTCATCGCTGTTACCTCTGGAGCCGCATAACCGAAGACAAGAGAAAGCTCTCTGTCCCGGTGCGCTTACAATGAGGGTCGCCAACCCCAAGCTGGGAAATTCCTGGAGATTTAGAGGTTTCGAGAGGGAGCTCAGTGGGGTGTAATGCCATAAAGTCCACCCTCCCATTTTCTCCAGGAGAACTGATCTCCGTAGTCCGGAGATCCTGGGAGAACTCCCAGTCCCACCTGGAGGTTGGCAGCCCTACATGAATTTGACGAAGGGGAACAGGGTCCCTCCTTGCTTGAGCAATGATTTGGCAGCGGAGTTTCGGACGGGACAGAGCTGGCTGAGGTGTAGCGAAGGAAAGCCAGAGAGGAGGAAGTTGCAGCGATCGAGGCAGGAGACGGCCAGAGAAAAAGTCCCCCACCAGTGTTCCCTCTAAGCTGAGTTCATGTGAGCTAGCTCACCGTTTTTTAGCCTCCGGCTCACAGATTTTTTTGTCTCCGCTCAGGAAGGAGGGCTCCAGAGCAAACTAATTCATGCAGTAGCCAAATCGCTCCCTCACAACTTTAACGCCAGGAGCTCGCCGAGTAGAATTTTTGCTCACATCTTAGAGGGAGCACTGGCCCCCACCCTTGCTGGCTGACAGGCCAGAAGGAGTGTGCGCGATCTGAAAAGTTTAGTCAAATAGAAAAGAGGGCCAACAATAAAAACTTAATATATAGTATATTAAAAGATACATGTATTTATTTACAAAGAATTAAAAAATATATAAGGGCCCAATCACACCTCATGTAAAAATACCAGAATCTAACGCACGAGGGCTAATGGACCTGACCTGATGCATTTCGGCCTGCATAGGCCTTCTTCAGAGGTCAAACACAGTGAAGAACATATTGGCTTATATAATGGTACAATACAATCATACGGAGCTGCGGTGGCTCAAGTGGTTAAGACGCTGAACTGCAGGCTGTGGAAGGTCGGTAGTTCAGCAGTTCGAGACCCGGGTTGCCGCATGACGGAGTGAGCTCCCGTCTCTAGTTCCAGCTCCTGCCAACATAGCAGTTCGAAAGCAAGAAATTGCAAGTAGATAAATAGGTACCGCTTCGGTGGGAAGGTAACAGCGTTCCGTGCGCCTTGGTGTTTAGTCATGCCGGCCACATGACCACGGAAACGTCTTCGGACAGCGCTGGCTCTTCGGCTTTGAAACGGAGATGAGCACCATAACCCTAGAGTCGGATTCGACTGGCTTTCAAGCAAGGGAACCTTTACCTTACAATCATACAGATATAAAATATAAATACAAGAATGACCAGAAGAAAGTTGTTCCAAAATGAACCCACTAGGCACAGAATGAAAGTACAAATGAGGCCTCCAAAGATGCAGTCACATGCCAAGTGGTGTTTCACTGGTGATAATTTCTGGTCCAGAAAGTGCCTTCCTATGATTGCTTAGCCTCAGTAGAATTGTCCTTATGAGGTGTGATTGGGCCTTTATATATTTTTTAATTCTTTGTTAAAAAAATACATGTATCTTTTTATATACTATATATTAAAGCTTTTTATTGTTGGCCCTATTTGACTAACCTTTTCAGGTTCTGGATCCCAGGTTTCTAGGTTCAGTTCCCCCCTCCCTTTTGTCCCAGTGTGCGTGATCTGAACCAGCGTGACGGCCGCTAACAGCCGATCGCAAAGATCCCGTACGTCTCCGCTGTCCGTCCCTCCTGGCTTTGCTTCAGGCGGCTTGCAACATCCGATCAAGCGGCTGCGGTGAAAACAGCAAGGCCGCTGCAGAAGGCAGGAAGCCTACGCATTGTTAGGCACGGTCGCATCAGCCGGTGGCAGGAAGGTGCACGAGGGCCAAGCATGGACTTTGCCGGGACGGCTCTTTCTTCGGAGGCAGCAGGAGGCCAGGCAGACAGCAGGCAGGCGAGGCACAAGGAAATTAAAAACAATTCTGCACTGCAATCTCGAGGGCTCCGGACTTAGGCAAACTCCGGGAAGCCATGTCCCCCCCCCACCGCCCCCCACCATGAAAAAGCCAGCTCGGGAAGCTTGGGCTAACCGTTGCCCCCACTGGGCTCATGGACGATACACTGCTCTGTGGAAATTCAAAGACACGCTTTCCCATTTTTTTGCAAGTCAAGAAATAACAAAACGTAGCAATTCTCGTCTGGGTGGTTTTTACAAAACATACATTGAGTATTGGCTTTTCTGGGTCGGATACAAGTCCATCCCGTTCCCAACAACAGGGGGCAGCCAGAGGCATCCGGGACGTGAGCAAAGCACGAAAACCGCGGCCTTCCCCTGTGGTGTGGCCTGCAGCAGCACAATGCCCCTGAACATGGAGGTTCTACTGTCATGGGGGCAAGCATTAAGAAGCTCCTCCTCTTTCTTCGGGTTGGTCTTATCAGACTGCCTTCTCAGTGGACGCATTCTATGAAAGGGGTGGGTGGGAAGAACCTACATAGGACTGACCATCCCGTGAAGTCAGAAGAGCATCCGGGGTTCTCAAGACGTTCGGAAGGCAGAGGTAGGTCTAATCTGCATTTTATTGAATGTGGTGGAAAGCGCCGTCGAGTTGCAGCAAACGTAGGGCAACCTCATGGGGTTTTCAAGGGAAGGGACGTTCGGAGGTGGTTTGCCATTGCCTGCCTCTGCGTGGCAGCCCTGGACTTCCTTGGTGGTCTCCCATCCAAGAACTAACCAGGGCTGACCCTGCTTAGCTTCCGAGGTCTGATGAGAGAGGGCTAGCCTGGGCCATCCAGGTCAGGGAGACATTTTAAATATGGTTGTCACCTTGGTGGCCATTTCTTATAAGCATAGACGGCTTCAAGAGGGGATTCGATAAACATATGCATCTATTAGCCACCAGGTACAGGGGGAACACTCTGTCTGGGGCAGAGGGTTGGAGGTGGGGTGGCTCTGTATGTCAGAGAGGGTATAATGTCCAGAAGGATTGAGAGGCTAAGAGAATTGGATTCGCTTCTGGAAATTCTATGGGTTGAAATAGAGGGGCCAAAAGGAAACTTAACACTGGGAGTTTGTTATCGCCCACCAGATCAAAAGATAGAGGAGGATTATAAAATGATGAATGAATTAAAGATAGCAGCTAGACAAAAAAACTGTGTCGTAATAGGTGATTTTAACTACTCACACATTGATTGGGTCAATATGTGTTCTAGTCGAGAAAAAGAGATTGAGTTTCTAGACACTCTAAATGGCTGTGCTATGGAGCAGATGGTCACGGAACCTACCAGGGGAGTGTTGGACTGGATGGGCCATTTGCCTGATCCAACATGGCTTCTCTTATGTTCTTATGTCTGGGGCAGTGATGCTCTGTATTCTTGGTGTTTGGGGGGGCAACAGTGGGAGGGCTTCTGGAGTTCTGGCCCCACCTGATGTAACCTGGGTTTTGGCCACTGTGTGACACAGAGCATTGGACTGGGTGGGCCATTGGCCTGATCCAACATGGCGTCTCTTATGTTCCTACGTTCTTATTCAAGGGCAGAAAGGCAGCATATATATTTTGTAGAATAAATAAAATAAATGACCAGTCTAGACTGTGCCGAAACAGGAGATGCCAGGAAAGCCTGTGCGTGCCACCCTGCGCTCAGTGAAGGGGAGGGAAACCTCAATGTAATCGATCATTTTAAAAAATAATTATCAACCGGCAGGGGGGCAATTCAGTCTGCTGGAAGAAATGGCTCACTTAATTGTCATAATCAAGCTTAGCAACTCCGTGGCGCGCCCGGATGTTTGAAAGCACGCTTCCTGCGCTATCTTGTTGTGATCCCGACAAAAGCACTGTAGGGTATGTCTGGAGAAGGTCAGGTAATACATCTACTGAATAATAGGTTAACTGTTTCAGGCCCGGTTAAAATGTACTGGTTTACTCTGCAAGCTTTCTCGCCCATCCCACGCCCGTTGACTGTAGCGGAACAGATGTGGAATAGATATGCACGTGACCTGCCCCGCCGGGCAGTGCATCAAAGGGAGACAGATCCAAAAGGCAATTATATAAATAAAATTTGCCCCTGAAGCATGGAAAGTGATCGACCGCTGTAGCCGCCCATTCAGCGTGGCGCAAAAGGGGTCACTCTGCGCTTTATAACCGAGGAGCGGTTACTGGATAACAGCCGCCAGTCAACCATCGTTTCCCAAGGACAGCTCCATTTGTAATCTGGACCGTTTCCCATCGGTCATGCTTCCTTTGACCTTGCGAGGACTACAGCTTAGCTCTACATCAAGGCAAAAACAGTTCTGATTGGTGGTAATGTGAAACGGAACGGCCTCCCCGGGGAAGGGGAAATGCATTCGGGATCCCTGTCTCTCCAACCTCCCTTCCCCGCTCTAAACGTCGGACCACAGTCCTTAAGTTTCAGAAATTTCTCTTGCCAGAGTGGGAAAAGTCAGAGTTTTATGGGCAGGTGGGTCCGGAGTTTTGGACTGAGCTTTCCCTCCAAAATACTCCAGGAAACAAACGATTAACAATGCAGGAACGACATCCAATCCAATTTCAAACCGTGGCTGGCCTTGAAGGCCCACGAAGCAAGGCAGGAAGGGGCAGGAGGACATCTCCCTCGAAGTCATTCATCTCTCTGGTGTCTGATGGTAGACTGCTTTTGAACATGGAGGATCCATTCCACTAGCTCCTGAGTTTTTACAGCCACCAACAGGTGATTGGCTTCTACAGGTGCAATAATCCCTGTGGGGTTTTTTCCTGCCATCAAGTCGCAGGCGATTTGAGGCAACCCCGTAGGGTTTTCCAAGGCAAGAGACATTCAGAGGTGGTTTTCCATTGCCTGCATCTGCGTTACAACCAGTGTTCCCTCTAAGCTGAGTGAGTGTGAGCTAGCTCACAGTTCTTTAGCCGCCGGCTCACACATTTTTGTCTTGGCTCAGAAGGGATGGATCCAGAACAAGCTAATTGATGCAGGAGCCAAATTGCTCGCTCACAACTTTAATGCCAGTAGGTCACAAAGTAGAATTTTTGCTCACAAGACTCCACAGCTTAAAGGGAGCACTGGTCACAACCAGGGCTATTTTTGAGCAGGAACGCACAGGAACAGAGTTCCGGCCGGCTCCTGAGTTGGCCACGCCCAGCAGGAGTTCATTAGCATAACAGGCCACACCCAACAGCAGAAACTCATTGGAATTGGCTACATTAGGGGTGTGTGCAAAGGAGTTCCTGCTACAAAAAAAACCCTGGGTTTTGACAACAAACAAGGTAAACAGAATAAGAAGCAAAAGGTGGGTGTGGCTGGATGACCACACTTCTGGTAACATGGGGGTATGGCCTAATATGCTAATGAGCTGTACTATCGGGGTATGGCCTAATATGCTAATGAGTTTCTGCTGTTGGGTGTGGCTTATTATGCTAATTAGTTCCTCCTGGGCTTTTTCTACAAAAAAAGCCCTGGTCACAAATCTGGGCTTCCTTGGTGATCTCTCATCCATATACTAACTAGGGATGACCCTACTTAGCTTCTGAGATCTGGGGAAATCACCTGGGCTATCCAAGTCAGGACAATAATCCTTCTACAAAATCTATGCATGTGAAACTAATTAAATTCTGCAATGTTCACGGCTTAATTTCTTTTTAAAAGACGAAAGAGAAATATTGGGAATCTGCTCTGCCTGGATACCCTTCCGTTCTCATCCCCGATGTATAACTCCACGGGGGGGGGGAGAGGAAACTGCACTCTGCATCTTCTCAGGGGAACTCCTGTCTTGTCTTACTCTGTAAATTCACGCCCCAGGCATGGAGAACACAGCCTGAGGCAGAGTCCCAGCACAAGCTAACATCTGGCAGGTTGGAATCGATGTACGCAAATCAATTTAAGGTTTATGTAATCTGGCAGCAAGTGACGCAAAGTGGAGAGCAACAAACACAACATTCCTCGAGCGCAGACGGAAAGTTAGTTCAATGCAGACTTCACAGCCCCATGCCTCACCCCCATTCTTATCGTTTTAGGGTACTTCCCCCCCCACCCCGTGGTGGCAATAGCAGGCCAAGCAGCATGCCGCTGTGAAAAGCGCAACGTCTCTCCCCTCCCCGGGGCGACGGGTTTCAAAGAAGTGCCCAGTGGGGAGGGGAGGAGAGCAGAGGAACAAGATGCAACATACCTGCCTTCATCATGCCACCCGCTACGGGACTGTTGGAGGCTTTTTTGTCCACATGGAGGAGAGAGAAAAAGAGAGAATGGGAGTCATTCAGGCCCGTAGCCAGGAACTTGTGGTTTGTGGGGCAAATTTTTTTTTTTTGGGGGGGGGGAGGCTGAAGTTCTCAGAGCAGAAAGAAAAACCATTTAGCCACAAGAAAGCTGTTGCCGGGACAGATCTCTAAATTGCAAGCTGTCAGCCACTTGAGATGACAGTTCTCAGCTGCTGCAAGTTAATCACTTCCGCCAGCCTAAGCAACAGTTCTGAGAACAGGCCGGCAGGTGGGGGTGATGACTTCTATAGTCAAGAGAGCTAACTCTTAGGCAGCAAAACTCTTGTAAAGGAGACCAGTTTCTTGACACAGAGTTAGAAGGGATCCTAGAGGTCACCTACTCCAACCCCCTTGCTCAGTGCAGGAATTAGTCAACTACAGCACCCCCACTCTGCTTAAGGGAGCGCAGGCCTTTATAAAAATGTTTTTAAATGATTGAGAAAAACATTTACAGGAGAAATTCTTGTGGGGCTGTGCCTTTAAGAAAGGTGGCAGAGCCCCCCAAAGCCCCATCGTTGCTACGGGCCTGGAGTTATTCCTTGAAAATGGTAGGGATGTGTGTATATACATATGTGCAGGGCCAGCATAAGTGAGAAGCTGCTGAAGTCCTGGGGATGGATGCCCCGTATGGCAGAAGCTATGGCCACCATGGCTTTATCTTGTCAACTGGTGCCAAAAGTGGGATCGGACCTCCCTTGGAAAGTTGTACCATCCTGAACGTGCGGGCCTCCAAGGGTTCCAAGCTAGGGACTTGCACAGTGGGACCCCCGCAGGTTCCTTGTTTTCTGCATCCCCTGCCATGGCTTGCCGGAAAAGGGAACGGGGCACTTGTTCTCCACCGCCACCATTGTGGGTGGCCACAGGTGGTACTGCAGCTAGCAGAACAGCACAGATTTCCAAGGGATCGAAGGGTACTGCTGCCTCCCTAGGCAGCTTATGTCTCTGCTCTAAGAATTTGGGGTGTTTTTAAAAAATATTGTAGATGATGCAATTAGACTTACGCTTGGCGGAGCCCAGAGGAGTCTGCAGAAAGAAAGAGAAGAGATGTTAATGGGGAGGGGAGAACCAGCAGAAATTATTTCAAGCATCTATTGAAAATCAACACACACACCCATGTACATAGATCAAGACGGGTAGCTATGTTAGTCTGTCTGTAGCAGTAAAAAAAGAGCAAGAGTCCAGTAGCACTTCAAAGTCTAACAAAATATGTGGTAGGGGACAAGCTTTCGTAAGTCACTTATCCGAAGAAGTCTCAGTGTTCTGAACTTGAAGAGGCGAGCAGTGACTCACGAAAGCTCCTCCCCTGCCACGTATTTTGTTAGTCTTTAAGATGCTACTGAACTCTTGCTCTTTTCTACACCCATGTACAGAAGCACTTTGTACATGCTCTTGGGCTTCCCTCGGTCACAACCCTTGGCCGCTGTTATAAAATGGCTGATGTTGACCAGGTTTACAGCCAGACCTTCCACCATGGAATTCAGGGTGGCATATTTGAGGACACATGTTTTTATCCTCACAGAAGTCTTGTGAGGTAGGTCAGTGACACTGACAGAGAGAGAGGCTATCCCAAGAATAGCTAGAGTCCAGCACCACCTTAGATACTAACCAGATTTTTGGGGTATAAGCTTCCAAGAGTCAAAGTTCCCTTTGTCAGATATCTACTGGACTCGAATCAAGCTCTTCTACCTCAGGTCAAGATGGCCGCCTTCTGAAACCATCCCAAGAATCTCTCCTGGGGAATGTTTTTCTTCAAAAGGCACCCACATCAGCACTGCCTTGGGGGGAAGAGTCCCACAAACAAATGACACAGGGAGTTGCTTCCCTTTTGCCATTCCTGAACCTTCCGCAAGTCAAATTGACTGGGGGCTTCCCTCCTCTACTGCCAAAGTTTTGATTTTAAAAAGAGAAAATGTCTGCACGTTCCCACCACATCATTAGGACACGCGAACATAAAAGGTGTCCTAATCCAGCACCCTGTTTCCCACGGTGGCCAACACAGACAAATCCCTCCAAAGGCCTAGGCCGAAGCCTTTCTCCCCGGCAACTGAGGGTGAACACGAAGGGTGCTTTTGGTAGTGATGGATAATAGCCATTGATAGCTATATTCTCCGTGACCTTTCCCGATCCACTTTTAAAGCCATTTGAGCCAGTCGTCATGACGACGCCCGTGTGACAGTGAACGCCACACGTTAATCATGCCTCAGAGAAGAAACACTTCCTTTCCCCTGCCCTGAATAAAGTGACTATCATGCCCACTGGGTGCTCACGAGTTCTAGTATTACGGGCCATTTCCCACTGGACCTATACCTAATGCGTAATACCTACGGGACGTGGATTTAGATGCTCCATCTTTTAGAAACTCAAATGTACATTATATGAGGGTTGAAAATGGCACCCGGGTGAAAATTTAGGATGGCACTCATGAATTGAGAGCCAGTGTGGTGAAGTGGCTAGAGCATCGGACTTGGATCACGGAGATCCACGTTCAAATTCCCACTCAGCCTCCAAGCTACCTAGGAGGCACTGGGCCAGTCACCCTCTCTCAGCCTAACCTACCTACCTCACAGGGTTGCTGTGAGGATGGAACAGAGAAAGAGAGGAGTGTGTATGCCGATGTGGTATAGTGGTAAGGACTACGATCTGGGAGACCTGAGTTTGAATCCCTACTGACACCATGGAAGCTAGCTTGGCCCAATCACACACTCTCAGCCTAACCTACCTTACAGGGTTGCTGTGAGGATAAAATGGAGGAGAGGAGAATAGGGCTGCCAAGTGGGGGCGGGTGGCAGGTAAACCCCCGCTTCGGAGGCCCGATTCCCGCCCCCGCGGAATCGGGCCCCGGGGGGAACTCCGCCCCCTGAAGCGCAATGGTTTTCCCTCCGACGATCGGGGCCACGCCCTCAACGTGATCGACGTCGCGCGTCACTTCCGGTGACGTGCTGGAGGCGCGCGCACGTCGAGGGACGGCTCCCGGAGCCTGGCGAGGCTCCCCTGCCGGTAGGAAAAATTGACTTGGCAACCCTAAAGGAGAATGACAGAGGCCGGGCCAGTAGCTACAGCGGGGCATTTGGGGGCCCACCCCGTTTATTATAAGCACCGCCCCACAAATTGTATTGCATGTTTCCCAAAGGCTCACCATGACCTAGGTGGTTTACAGCAGGTCTAGGCTAGCAGAAAGGGGGGGGGGGTTGTTGGAGATGTATTGAAGGTGCCACTCTTGAGTGCACTTCTAAGCTTTCTTGCCCTGTGGAAGGGAACTCCAAAAGACATTTAAATGCCCTATGAGCTGTTTTTTTCCTAGGAACCGGCGTGCTCGCTTCCCTGTCCCTTGAAAGGAAGGCCTAGAAACAGGCTCAGAGCCTCCCCATTTAAAGACAGGCATTCAGATTAATTTAATTGTGATTTAGAAGAAGAAGAAGAGATTGGATTTATACCCCGCCCTTCACTACCCAAAGGAATCTGAGTGGCTTACAAACTTCTTTCCCTCCCCCCTCCCACAACAGACACCCTGGGACCAATGCTCCCTCTAAGCTGTGGAGTCCTATGAGCAAAAATTCTACTTTGTGAGCTACTGGCATTAAAGTTGTGAGCGAACGATTTGGCTGCTGCATAAATTAGTTTGCTCTGGAGCCGTCCTTCCTGAGCTAAGACAAAAATGTGTGAGCCGGAGGCTAAAGAACTGTGAGGCAGCTCACACTAACTCAGCTTAGAGCTAACCTTGCCTGTGAGGTAGGTGGGGCTGAGAGAGCTTTGACAGAAACGGCTCTGTTTCAAGAACAGCTCTGACAGAACTATGGCTTGCCCAAGGTCATCCAGCAGGTGCAAGTGGAGGAGAGGGGAATCAAACCCGGTTCTCCCAGATCAGAGTCCGCGCACTTAACCACTACACCAAACTGGCTCTCAGTTAACTGCCTCCTTCAAAGTTTAAATGCCCCTGGAACAAAAAAAATCTGGCTACGGGCCTGACGGAGGCTGGTCTGGATCCCCACTGTGGAGAAAGACAGGGTATAGATAAAGTAAACATAAGCCGGCCTCTTTGGCGGAGGGGTGGGAGTCCAAATGTCCTCAACTGAAGCTCCTGACCTTTGGTGAGCGGGCGGCTTTCTCTTCTTTAGCCTCTTCCGACAAGGTCTCTTTGGTCGAAGATGCCGAGACTCCATTTTCAAATAGCTCCAGCTCCTTCTCCAACCTGGAACGAGAGGAGACTTGGCTGCTTAAAAGCTCCTGGCTGGGGAAGATGGGACGGGGGAGCTCATTTTAAAGTCATCTTGGGGCTCACCCCCACACGTGGACCTCCACATCTCCACTGAATGAAACACAAGCAGGCACATATGTGCTACAGACTTAAACCGGGGCAACCACCACTGCCTCTCCCAGTGAGAAGCCAGGGACTTGTGGCTCCATATACAGGTGTGTTGGCCTGAAAGGTAACTGTGGTTGCGGTCACACGCGTGAGATAACACCGGGGGGGGGGCAGGCTATTTGCCCTGTAGGAATTTGACCCGCATTTGCGCAATCACACAGTCCTTGGCCCGCCACTGCATGATCAGACGCAACCATGGGTGAATCGGGGGGGGGGGTTTGGCCGCGTGTTCCCGGTGTGCTTCAACGGGGGATCGATGATTCGCATCTCCACAGTGAGGGCTCCCTATGCAGTGTGCGATGAGGCGCATACCGAGACAGGGGGGAAAAATGGCATGAAGTTGGGATGGCCTGATCAGACCATCCTGACGCAATGGGAGCATGCTGAAGTGATCATACAGAGGAAAGTCCATCCGTGGCCCATAGCAACCTGTTTGGTACTGGACTTTCCCTAGTGTCTTTTTACTCCACTTCTGTGGCGGAGCAAACTGGGTTGCTGACGGGTACGTGATCGCACCCTTAAAATATGCCCAGCATTCGCACCTATGGCGCGGCTAATTCTGCGTGTGATCGTGACCTGAGGTAGAATTCTTACCAAAAGGAAACTACCATTCCCAGGATTCTTTGAGGGGTGTCCTGAAGGGGTATAAGAGACTTTCAGAGGCATTGTCATTCCCTGTCTCTACATAGCAACACCTATTTTCCTTAGTGGTCCCCCGTCCCGGTACTAACCAGGGCCAACCCTGCTTCTGAGATCTGATAAGATTGGACTAGTTTGAGCCAGTGTTCCCTCTAAGCTGAGTTAGTGTGAGCTAGCTCACAGATTTTTAGTCTCTGGCTCACACATTTTTTGCCTTAGCTCAGGAAGGAGGGCTCCAGAGCAAACCAAGTTATGCAGTCGCCAAATCACTCGCTCACAACTTTAATGTCAGTAGCGCACAAAGTAGAATCTTTGCTCACAAGACTCCACAGCTTAGAGGGAGCATTGGTTTGGGCTGCTGCCACCCTGAAAGGGTACAGAACTGATATAAGCTTGCCATGTCTTGTGAATGATGTACTGTATTCCTCTCTTCAGTGACCCTGACTGTTTCCGTAGGAAAGTTCTCTGTAATACTTTGGCTGTTACAAAATGTCCACTAGGGTTATTCATTCTTTCACTCATTTGTTTAAATGATTATGGCAATGAAAGGTTTGGCAAACTTGTTCACTAAGCCTCCCTTTGTTTTGCTAGCAGGTGAGAAACCAGCTTTTTAAAAAGTGATGCACAATTTAATTAAAAGTAGCATGCACACACACACACACAAAATAGTTGAGCTAAGTTGTTTGTGTGTCTGTAAAGTGCAGTCAAACTGTAACCAAGTTATGGCAATCGATGCTCCCTCTAAGCAGTGGAGTCTTGTGAGCAAAAATCCTACTTTGTGAGCTCCTGGCATTAAAGTTTTGAGCGAGCGATTGGGCTGCTGCATAAATTAGTTTGTTCTGGAGCCCTCCTTCCTGAGCTAAGACAGAAGAAGAAGAAGAAGAAGAAGAAGAAGAAGAAGAAGAAGAAGAAGAAGAAGAAGAAGAAGAAGAAGAAGAAGAAGAAGAAGAAGAAGAAGAAGAAGAAACAGAAAGTGCTCTTTTTCAAGAACAGCTCTCATCAGAACTATGGCTTGCCCCAAGGTCATCCAGCCAGGTGCAAGTGGAGGAGGGGGGAGTCAAACCCAGTTCTGCCAGATTAGAGTCCGCGCTCCTAACCACTACACCAAAGAAATGTGCGAGCCGGAGGCTCAAAAACTGTGAGCTAGCTCACACTAACTCAGCTTAGAGGGAACGCTTTGGCAATCCCAGCAAGGGGCTTTCAAGGTGATTGAGAAGCGGAGGTGGTTTGCCATTGTCTTCCTCTGCAGAGTGGTCTCCCTCCCAAGGACCAACCCGGCTTCCCTTCCAAGGCCTGATGACATCGGGCTGTGCCATACCATTTTCCCTCCTTGCCAGATTGTTTACAACAATGAAAACCCAGGATAAAAAACATCCGTTTCAAATACCAAGCAAGCAACAACCTAATCAACGGGGGGGGGGGGGGGGGTTTTAAAAAAAATAACCAAAGGCCCTGATTGTCTATATCAGGTCAAAAACAGACTTTCCCAGCAGATCTTTAAAGGGAGATGAATGAGGGACCCCAACAATTTGGACACACAGCTCCAAAGCTGCCATCAAGAAGTCCCCAATTCCTATGGACTCCCCTACTTCTGAGAAGGCAAATGAAGCAGGGACTTCTTGTGACTAGGCACAAATAGTGTTCCCGGGGTTGTTTTATTATTGTTGTTGTTTTTGTTGTTTTTTTTTTAAGAGGTTCCGGAATTCTCAAGAGGGAACGGAAGTTTTCAATCCGTACACTGATAAACTCACAAACTTTTAAACAGTTTTAAAAGAATTTTGTCGAAGAGGTTCCGGAACTCCATTCCGGCGCTTTCCCCTAGAATAAAAGCCCTGATTTTTGGCAAATAACCGCTTCGGGTCAGAAACTCCCAGCAAGTGTCGAATATATGCAAACATTCGTCCCAGCAGTGCAAGGGTGCTGTTTTCGTTTAACTTTCGCCTACCCACCCCTCTGATGCGCCTGGATATCCTCCTGCTTGGATATCCTCCCGAAAAGCACTCGGGGGAAACTTCTGGGACTGCTTTGTGTGCACAGATATCCAAGAGAGAATTTCCACCGGCTTCCACGGGGCGGTTGGGGGAGGGGAGAGCTCGAGCTGGCCGCTGTTCCAGAGCAGCCCAGAAGTTGCCAGGAACAGCCTGTGATGGATCTTAGTGCAAAGGGACGTGCAAAAGAAGGAGGGGGTGGCGGAGGGTCAGGCGCATTGTTGTTCCAATTTAACGTCCAGCCCAGTGCTCGGAGGAGCCAAGATCTCTCTTCGGGCAGACTTAACTGCTGGTTGGAACTCAAGGAGCGGTTTGGACAGAGCTGAAGAGAGAGGCACGTCGAGGAGAGGAAGGGGACTGCAGTGGGGCCGCCGAGCATCAGATTGGCGGACTTTGGCCAGAGAGATCCAGGTGCGAGTCTTCCGCACTAGGGTACCATCCTCCAGGTGGTGCCTGGAGATCTCCCGGAATCGCAATCAATGTTCCCTCTGTGGAGTCCTGTGAGCAAAAATTCTGCTTTGTGAGCTACTGGCATTAAAGTTGTGAGCGAGCAGTTTGGCGACTGCATAGATTAGTTTGCTCTGGAACCAATGTTCCCTCTAAGCTGTGGAGTCTTGTGAGCAAAAATTCTACTTTGTGAGCTGCTGGCATTAAAGTTGTGAATGAGCGATTTGGCTACTGCATAAATCAGTTGGCTTTGGAGCCCTCCTTCCTGAGCTGAGACAAAAATGTGTGAGCTGGAGGCTGAAAAACTGTGAGCTAGCTCACACTAACTCAGCTTAGAGGGAACACTGTCTGGAACCATCCTTCCTGAGCTAGGACAAAAATGTGTGAGCCAAAGGCTAAAAAACTGTAAGCTAGCTCACGCCAACTCAGCTTAGAGGGAACACTGATCACAATGGATCCCCAGACTACAGGTGTCCGTTCCCCTGGAGAAATGGCAGTTTTGGAGGGTGGGCTCTATGGGACTATTGCCCACAGAGGTCCCTCTTCTCTCCAAAATCCGTCTTCCCTAGGCTTCGCCCCCAAATATCCAGGGATTGCCCAACCCGACGCAGGTAACTGCCCCACTGGGTTCCTTGGCAGCACTCACTAATTGTTCAGCCAAGTCGACCTCATGGGGTCGTCGGGAGGATAAGCTCGCTTGTACGCCTCCCTGAGCTCCGTTGTGAATTGTTTGCAAATTGCTCGCGGCGTGCTAATGATGGTTTGAAGTGCAATAAGCAGTCAGTTGTGACAGCAAGCGGAGCGAGTCCTGATCCTTCCCGTCTTGCCCCTCCCTAGGGTTGCCAGCTTTGGGTTGGGAAATGCCTGGAGGTTTGGGGGGGGTGGAGTCTGGGGAGGGCGGGGCTTGCAGAGGGGAGGGACTTCAGTGGGGTACAGTGGGGAGTCCACCTCCCCCAAGTGTCCATTTTCTCCAGGGGACCTCATCTCTATCGTCTGGATATCAGTTGTAATCCCAGGAGATACCCAGCCACCACCTGGAGGTTGGCAACGCCGCCCCTCCCCCAGCATAGCTGAATGCAGCAGCAGCGCCCCCTGTAGTCAGAGGAAGAGATGAGCCTTAGGAAAATACGCCTTTGCGAGATGGGCAATAAAATCCTTGTCCCGTCCTGGGAACGGGCAAGCGGGTTTATCGCTCTCTGGGTGCGTTCAGACGGGGCGTTTCAGCCGGCATAAACTGTACAGGTTGGAACCGGTGCAGTTTATGCCAGCTGAAACGCGATCACACTTACCTCCTGTCTGCGGAGCCCATCGCTGTATGCCCGTTCACATGCAGCAGGTGTCGGCGTTTAAAAAAACCCCAACAACTCAGTTTGAGCATACGCATAGGCAGCCATCCACAGAATGGCGATCTTCACGCATGCGCAAAACACCCCGTCTTACATTTAAAGTTTAAAGGTAAGGACTTACCTTTAAAGTTTAAAGACCAAACTGGCCTCCCTGAAGTCCTGGACTCCTCCAAAACGTTAAACTAAGGACTTTTTCTTTTCTTTTTTAAACAAACGCCGAGGCGAAGCTTCGCCCAAGCGCATATCGCCGACCTAAAAAAAAATAGCGGGCGAAAATCGGAAGCCTCGGGCTTCCGAACGGAAGTGGCTCTACAACGTTGGAGAGCGATCAGACGGGGGTAAAGCGATTACAACTGTTGCACTCAGGATACCACCACTTGGGGACCTAGTGGCAGAATACAACAGTGTAAAGCTCTTTGCAACGGTTAGGGACGGAAGGCAGATGTTCGCCGTGTGAACGCCGGTAAGTACACTGATTCCAACCGGCACCTATAGCGTTGCAAATGCCCCATCTGAACGCACCCCTAGAGTAGTTCTGAAATGCTCCTTCAGAATGTCAAGCAACTGGCTCAGCAGGAGGGAGGCTTTTGTTGTGCGATTCTCTGGGCTGCGGTATGAGTGGCTAGAGACTAAACATACAGTTGGCTCCTTTATTTGTGTGGAGACAGAATGCAGACTTGTGGATAGTGGGTGCAAGACCAAAATGCTGTGAGTGTTTTGCTCTAACACTAAAACAAGCCCAGGGAGAGGCAAAGAAGTTGCCATGTCTGCTCTGAAATAACAAAGCACCGCTCCCTCACAACTGTCATTAACATCCTTACGTTAGGTAAAGGTTTCCCTCACTCGAAAGCCAGTCGAATCAGACTCTGGGGTTGCAGTGCTCATCTCCGTTTCCAAGCTGAAGACCCAGCGCTGTCCGAAGACGTTTCCGTGGTCATGTGGCCGGCGTGACTAGACGCCGAGGCGCACGGAACGCTGTGACCTTCCCACCGAAGCGGTACCCAGGGTTCTTTTTGTAGAAAACGCCCAGCAGGAACTCATTAGCATAATAGGCCACACCCAACAGCAGAAACTCATTAGCATATTAGGCCATGCCCCTGCCAGCACAGCTCATTAGCACATTAGGACGCACCCCCATGTTACCAGAAGTGTGGTCATCCAGCCACACCCACCTTTTGCTTCTTATTCTGT